TCTGTAACTGTAGAACTACAAAGTGCACCTATATAGTAAGTGGAGCTGATAAAATGGACAATGAGCGTAGAAACAAGGAGGTGGTCACAATGTTATGCCTGATCGGTGTTTATTATGTGACACTAGAGGTTCTGTTTTGTCTGTTCCACAGTGTTTTTCATAAAAATGTCTTAAAATATCGGGATATACTTTTTTTGCAATACCACCTAATCCCTAATACAACCACTGAAAATAACAGGGACATCTTAAAGCACCCTGGCTTACAGCTACAACAAGCATCTATTATTGACGAGAGGAGCACGGGTTGAGTAAATGGCCCATGTTCAAGAAATACAGATGATACCTATGATGTGTGGAAGCCTCCAGGCATTATTTATCATAATAACAGTAACATAATCATATTGCCCACTGCTGGTTGATGGTAATTGTAAATCCAGTGCAGCATTTCACCGACTGATAGATGTAGTTGTTCCCAGGTTGTGGCCTCCCCATCCGTTTATACTGCGAGCGAGTGAGCGTGTTGACGCTTGTTTGAGTGTTTATCTGTGCTCAGCTGGTGTTTACTGTGTTTCAGGACGGCGCTATCCTGGTGTTTCTGCCTGGCTGGGACAACATCAGCAGCCTGAACGATCTGCTTATGGCCGACCAGATGTTTAAATCCGGTAAATATCTTCTCTCTCGTTCCACTGCTGCCAGATTTCTCTCCCTGCTGCAGCTGATGAAGCAGATACAGGTGTGCGAGGCTGCCTTTATATTCCAGGGCTGAAGATGCTCAAATTCCTTAAGATCACTTTTTTTTTTTTCGCTTTAATTTGAAACAGATGTGATGTTTTTCAGAGCTGTGTGAGCACAAGAACTTCCAGATGTGCTCATAAATGGACCACAAGCATTATGTCATCACACACTCGCCTCAAAGTAGACTTACTTATGTGCATGAGTGTGTTTACATGCACTCAGTAATCCGATCATTATCGGATTTCTGCAGATATCTGATTATTCAAATGGTCGTGTAAACAGCACACTCTGATCTCTTAGATCAGACTACGGTCTGGAAATCTAATAAGAAATCTGATAAAAAGAGCTGGATTTTAGCTCAGTAATCAGATTTCTCAGTGCACGTGAACTCTTACTCTGATTTCTTTCGGGTTTCTCAGTCGGCATGTGTGCGAAAACAGGCTGCGGTACCGGAAATAAGCGAGCGGTGTTACCACAAGACGCAGCAAAACACTTTTGGATGCTTGATGAAATGAAGGATTTAAATATTCTTCATCGTTTAGATGATGTATTTTCATATTTTCAGTTAAATTAACACAAAGTTTGAGTTTTACATTATGTTTACGTCACGTCGTCTTCTGTGAGTTTATTGGCTGGTTGCAAAGCAGAAATCTAATTACTGTCTGACTCAAATAGACCCAGAGTTTTCCCATTATCTGATTACTTAATAGCAAATAAATGCGCTGATCAGCTTCAAAAAATCTGATTTTCTGCAGCCATCAAATTGTTAAGTGCATTGAAATGCCTTCAGTGTTACCAGTGAAAACTAGTGACTAATGTTAAGAGCATATTGCAGTTACAGAATACCCACGAGACCTGTACCCCATAGTCTTTAATAAAAGGTGCCACAAAGGGTTCTTTGAGCGATGCCATAAAAGAACCACTTTTGTTTCCCTAAAGAACGTTTTGTAGGAGAGATCTGCAAGTGTGAAGAACCTTTTAGAGAATCTTAACATAATAAAAAGCTTCTATTCTATAGAAATTTACTTTATATAAAAGGTTCTTCATGCTGACAGATCACATTTACAAACCTGACTCTCTAAAGAACCATCAACTGAAAGCTTCTATAGGGAACCACTAGAGTCTCTTCTATGGTGAAGAATGTTTTTTTTTCTTTATATTTAAGAGTGTAGATGACAAAGTTGACTTAGATTTAGGGCCGTCAACTTTCGGCTGACGATTAATTGTCATATAAATTATTACATGTAAAAATGTACTTATCTTTTCTTGTTAATTGTTTGCGACATGTTAATTGTTAAAATGCAAGCATAAGGTGGCCAGGCTGGCTGATTAGCCATCTTAGCTGTGGTAAGGCTGATTAGCCATCTTAGCTATGGCGAGGTTAATTAGCCACCTTAGCTATGGCGAGGTTAATTAGCCACCTTAGCTATGGCGAGGTTAATTAGCCACCTCAGCTATGGCAAAGTTAATTAGCCACCTTAGCTATGGCGAGGTTAATTAGCCACCTCAGCTATGGCAAAGTTAATTAGCCACCTTAGCCATGGCGAGGTTAATTAGCCACCTCAGCTATGGCAAAGTTAATTAGCCATCTTAGCTATGGCGAGGTTAATTAGCCACCTCAGCTATGGCAAAGTTAATTAGCCATCTTAGCTATGGCGAGGTTAATTAGCCACCTCAGCTATGGCAAAGTTAATTAGCCACCTTAGCCATGGCGAGGCCGGTTAGCCACCTTATCCATGGCGAGGCCGCTTAGCCACCTTAGCCATGGCGAGGCCGCTTAGCGACCTTAGCCATGGTGAGGCCGCTTAGCCACCTTAGCCATGGTGAAGCCGATTAGCCACCTTAGCCATGGCGAGGCTGGTTAGCCACCTTAGCCATGGCGAGGCCGATTAGCCACCTTAGCCATGGCGAGGCCGATTAGCCACCTTAGCCATGGCGAAGCCGATTAGCCACCTTAGCCATGGCGAGGCCGATTAGCCACCTTAGCCATGGCGAGGCCGATTAGCCACCTTAGCCATGGCGAGGCCGATTAGCCACCTTAGCCATGGCGAGGCCGATTAGCCACCTTAGCCATGGCGAAGCCGATTAGCCACCTTAGCCATGGCGAGGCCGATTAGCCACCTTAGCCATGGCGAGGCCGATTAGCCACCTTAGCCATGGCGAGGCCGATTAGCCACCTTAGCCATGGCGAAGCCGATTAGCCACCTTAGCCATGGCGAGGCCGACTAGCCACCTTAAATAATTGTGATCCTCTTAAATAATTGCGATTGGGCGATCCGATAATGAGTGACCGGCCTACTTTGACTTTGATTCTTTTTTTTGTATCGTAGCTCAGAGTTATTTTTACTCTAATAGCAGGGCAGCTTGTGGGAGAGTCATGCCTGCTGAGATCTGACTGATGCCATGTTTGTGTGTGTTTAGATAAGTTCATCATTATTCCACTGCACTCTCTGATGCCCACGGTCAGCCAGACACAGGTAAGTAGCTCTGCTTCATTAGCATCATCATCACATTACAGTCTAGACTTAATACTGCTGAATCAATTGCATTAAACTGTATTGAGCCGAGTGCTTCTTTAGGCCAAATGAGTGTAACTGATGAACACACAGTGCTGTTGAAGGTCACTCGCAAAACATTCTGCAGAGTCCAGTCCTGGTGGGCCACAGCACTGCTGAATATAACGGTCTACAGGCTGTTACACACGGAACATCACACGAATAAACAATATGAAGATGTGAAATGTTTAGATGTAATTTTTTTCCTGTTAAAACTGGGGCAGAATATCAAAAAGGTATTCTTGGTTTCTCATGCAGTGAGAAAACTGAGGCAACATGCAGGATACTTGGCACTTTGGAAAAGCAGAAGGGGTGTGAAGAGTTTCTCCTCCTCATTCAGGAGCTGAAACCATGAACTCTTTCAATCAGCTCGGATCTCCGTTACTCACTTTGCGCAGCTTTTGGAGCTGACAAAGCACAAAACAGAGTCTCTTCAAGTACAAATAAGACCCTCTGCTCCTCACAGAGTGGGCAAGGAGACAATGGACAGGCAAGCAGACAGTGGACACAGCATCGTGGCAGTGTGAAAGTAGCACGGGGAGCCTCATCACTTTAGCCAAAAGCTGAAACTTTGAGTGTTTCTACGTGTAACTCAGATGTTTATAGCCCAGTTTGAGCCCTGATTTGAGCTGACTGTGATTTTTTAAAAGTTGTGCCACAGCCGATCCTCCATCTTGGTTGTCACCGTGTCAACCAGTGATTGGTTAGAGTTCATGTCACAAATAAAATGTTGCTTTTTGGCATCTGACAAATCACGCTTGGTGTGTAAAGGCCTCATCTCATAACACACCTCACTATGCATGATTAAAAAAAAATAACACTCCTTAATGCTCACTCCTAAATAAATTAAGGAAAACTCACTAGTAGATTTGAATATTATATATGAATATCACACAGTGCTGTGCAAAAATCAGAGACCATCCTTTTGTGTATTTAATTAATTCATTCATTTTTTAGCAACAGAATAAACACAGGAAGTAAATTTTTAACACAAAATCACACAACAACCTTCCACACTAAATACATCAAATTTATCATCATTATATTATCATATTATTTATTTATTTATTATCATTGTATTTTAATTTATCCACTCTTGGCAAAAGGTGTTCGCAGCAGTGTTCCTGACAGTGCTACGTTTCAAAGAAACAAGGACAATAAATAAATAAATAAATAAAAAACATGAGTTTCCAAAACTGGAGTTCTAAAAATGGCTAAAAGCTACAGAGCAACTGACAGAGACAAACAGCCAGTGAAATACACACAGTACTGTGTGCAAATCAGAGGCTACTGATTTCATTTCTGGTCAAAATGACCACTGAGTACAAGTTGTTCAATTCTCAGATTAGATATAAGATAATGCAAATAAAAAATAAGAGAAAAACGAGGCTCCTAACAACCACCTGGAAGACCTGATAGCCGCCAAAACTGTCCGCATCAGATAAACAGCACTTAAAGCTTTCATCTCTGAGAGAGAGGAGAAAATCAAGCTGCTTCAGATCTGAAAACATCCACAGGTGTTTCTGTCCATCCTTCCACTGTGAGAAGACGACTCAGCGCTGTGGGTCTGAAAGGATGTGTAGCTGATCAAGAAGAACCTCACTGAGAAAAGGAGACAGGCTGAGTTCACATTACCAGACGGAAGTGGAACAAGTGATGTTTTACACAGATCTGATGTTTTTAGAGCTGTGTGAGAACACAAGTCCGATTTTCCCAAAACAGATTTCAGATGCTCTCATATGTGGTTCTAGTTTGGATGCGGCCTTAATAAGAGTGGTCAGATTGGAATGTTTGTGTTTTACTGCGCAGCGATGCTGATCCAGTCAGTGCCAGTAAACACTGTAAAAGAAAACATCTGGCCCTTTTTTGGCTTAATCTCACTCTAATAACAGAGCTGCTCCGAGCTAATAATCTCTGACGAAGGCTTGCTCCGCTGGTTAGTTTGTTGTTTATGACACACATGCATTCACGTGACATTATTGGTGCATGTGCAGGTCGTTTTAGGTCACTGTTTCGTTCACATTAATGACAGAAACGAGTCACTGGACATCTGAGATGTGGGGCTTTATGGAGAGATTTCTGAAGAGTCTGAGTTTGTTATTGGAATTACTTGGTAGTAACTTCTAAGTCTGGAGTGAAAAAATATCAGATTTAAATAGTTCTTTAAAAAATGAAAGCATGTCTACCAAAAAAGAATGGAAGCTGTAATAAAGGCACAATTACTGAAAGCTTTGATGCTTTATTTAGTTTTCGAGGCTTGTGTAGAATTTTCAGTTGAGTACACCGATCAGGCATAACATCATGACCACCTCCTCGTTTCTACGCTCATTGTCCATTTTATCAGCTCCACTTACTATATAGGTGCACTTTGTAGTTCTACAGTTACAGACTGTAGTCCATCTGTTTCTCTGATACTTTGTTAGCCCCCTTTTACCCTGTTCTTCAGTGGTCAGGACCCCCATGGACCCTCACAGAGCAGGTATTATTTGGGTGGTGGGTCATTCTCAGCACTGCAGTAACACTGACGTGGTGGTGGTGTGTTAGTGTGTGTTGCGCTGGTCTGAGTGGATCAGACACAGCAGTGCTGCTGGAGTGTCACCTCAGTGTCACTGCTGGACTGAGAATCGTCCACCAACCAAAAATATCCAGCCAACAGCGTCCTGTGGGCAGCGTCCTGTGACCACTGATGAAGGACTAGAGGATGACCAACACAAACTGTGCAGCAGCAGATGAGCTATCGTCTCTGACTTTACATCTACAAGGTGGACTGACAAGGTAGGAGTGTCTAATAGAGTGGACAGTGAGTGGACACAGTGTTTAAAAACTCCAGCAGCACTTCTGTGTCTGATCCACTCGTACCAGCACAACACACACTAACACACCACCACCACATCAGTGTTACTGCAGTGCTGCGAATGTACCTGCTCTGTGAGGGTCCATGGGGTCCTGACCACTGAAGAACAGGGTAAAAGGGGGCTAACAAAGTATCAGAGAAACAGATGGACTACAGTCTGTAACTGTAGAACTACAAAGTGCACCTATATAGTAAGTGGAGCTGATAAAATGGACAATGAGTGTAGAAACAAGGAGGTGGTCAGAATGTTTCCTGCGCTTTTCCTGAATGACTTGCACTTGATGACCGTTTGGATTGGAGATTAAATAATGACAGGGTGCTCTCTGACTCTTGCGCTGCACTGTTCAGAGCTCTACTGCTCTGTGGTCAGTGATGGCGTGTGTAATGTGTCTTACTCTCTGATCAGGTTTTTAAAAGGCCGCCACCCGGAGTCCGGAAGATTGTGATCGCCACGAACATCGCAGAAACCAGGTATGAGTGCTGCTGTTTTTGATGTTCACTTTTTCTGGAGCGTTTAGAGTTGTTAAAGCAGCAGCTCTGCTCCGTCAGCTGGACGTTAGCGCAGTTCGACAGTCTGACACACTCTGGTTAATTACCATAATGTCACCGTTTCCTCTGGCAAGCGCTGTCGGCGTTCACGATCTCAGCTGAGCGGCACGAGCTCTCAGCGCGGCCTGATTAGTACTCCACGCACATGGCCGGCCAGGCTCCACTGCCCTCAGCTCCACAAAGATCTGGCCTTTCAGCCAAGTTTAGTCGTATTTAGGCCAATTTAGTCCATTTTATTTATTTCTTTATGAATTATTTGAGCTGTAGCCGGTGGCTGTGATTTCAGGCGGCTCAGACTGCTGCTGCGTGCTTCGCTTCTAATCAACAAACTCCATTAGCTTCATGCTGATAATCCAGTCGTCTTTTTTATTGTGATGTTGAATGTTTAATATTGCAGGGTAGGAATCTCTTCACTGTGTCTCTGTCTCTCTGTCCATCCCTGCATCTGTCTCTACTTCTCTCTCTCTGTCAAGTTCAAGTTTAATGTAGCTTTATTGGCATGACTGTGAGGTCCAGTATTGCCAAGGCATTATAACAGTGACAACAATAACAGTAATGACCAGATGAACTCATAGGACTAATATGTAAATTGTTGACTGTGTTAAAAATTGTCTGTCTCTCTCTCTCTCTCTCTCTCTCTCTCTCTCTCTCTCTCTCTCTCAGTATTACTATAGATGATGTGGTGTATGTGATCGATGGAGGGAAGATCAAAGAGACGCACTTTGACACCCAGAACAACATCAGCACTATGACTGCGGAGTGGGTGAGCCTGGCCAACGCCAAGCAGAGGAAAGGACGAGCCGGCAGGTACCCCTCTCTTTCTCCCTCTCTCTCTCTCTCCCTCTCTCCCTCTCTCCCTCTATTCATGGCTTTTCCCGCTGCATGTTTTTTTTCTAAGTAATTGCGCCCAATTGAGATTTTCTCAGGTCAGCCCTCAGACTAGATTGCAGTGGAATGTAAATGCGTTTCATTCAATTTTCCTCGTTCGCTGCTCGGCTCCTGCGCCTCGCTTTCTTATTCCACGTTATCAATTTCATGCTCGCTAATCCTGCCAGGATTCTATGGCTTGTGCTGCAAAGTAATGAAAATATGACTTTGGCTATTGCTCTCCAGCCACTCTGATAACGGCCATGAATATTCGATTCTTTTCCATTTCTCCTGCCCTCTGTTCCCTCTTTAGCACTTTTTTATAGCAAATCCCTCTCTCTGTTTTTACTGTATCACTGTGATCTTGCCTGTATTGAAATCCATCTCTATATTAATAGGAAGCATGTAGTCTGTGGGGCTCAGTTCCTATTCACGTCCTCATTCATTTCTCGACAGAACATCTATGTCAACTTTGAGGAAGACTGGCTGAGTTTACGCCGCCGCATACGTACAGGTTGAGTTAAATTTTGTGGATGTGTTTACAGAAAAGATTTGGGTGACTATTGATTTCTAGTGTTTGTTAGCAGCATTAGCTTCAAGCGCTAAAGTGAAGAAGCAAAATTTGGACACAAAACTTCTCTCAGGAAGTTTTGGACTGAAAAGCAATTATTTGACCATTAATTGATCAAGATGATTTACTTATCAGAGTAGTTTGAAGGTCCTTAGTAGCAGAAAATAATAAAAATATGAACAGTTCCAGTAGAGTTGAAAGGGAAGTGAGGAAGAAGCTTATTTTTCTGTGGATTGGAACGAAGCCTCTGGTTTTTCTCTGTCTGTTTTGAAACACCTCCAGCATCAGAAATGTGTGACCTTGAATTGGATCTCCGGCTTGACAAGAAATGGAAAAGCGTCTATTCTTTAATAGCTTACAGTGAGAATGAAGGCTATTGATTCTCTCCAGGCAGTATAGAATTTTTTTGGTGTACAGAAAGTCTATACTGCCTCGAAAAATGGACAATGTGTGTCTAATGCAATAAGACTGATTTAGAGTGTGCGTGTTCGTGTAGGTGTCTCTGACGTAGCAAGTGACGCAAGGCTTTTTTTCACATTTTGCGTCAGACCTTTTCAGAATCTGTAGTAAATTGCATTTTTTGTTTAAGTAAAGTTTACAAGGCTAGCAAAATGTAATAGTAAATAACAGAAACAGACAAATTGGAACAGGATTGGATGCAAAAACAGGTTCTAACCAAGTTCTGCATCTTAAATCAGTTTCCCAAACGTTTTCCCCAAGTTTCAGTGTTAATGATTTCCCTGTTTATTTTTAATGGAAGGCACATTGAATCCATGAGTCGCCCTATATTCTTTTTTTTTTCTTGTTATTTTACTGTTTTATCTTTGAAGAAATCATGCGGCAGTAAATGTTTTCAGATGAAATTCAGCAACTGCCCATTGGAGTTATTGGAGTGTTTGACATTTGACATTGAAAGAACGGAAAACTCAATGAAAAGCCAATTTCTGTTATTTTGTATAGGAAATCAACTTTATATAGCAGATGTGACTCATAGAGATTTGGTGGAAAAACACTGGAATGTTCTTTTGAGGGTTCTTTCATATGTTATAGGTGAATTCCAGAGTTTTCATCATGCATAATTCAGTGTTTGAGACGTAAACACATTCAGCCAGAGTGTTTTTTCTTTAAACCTGGCTCTAATCCTAACCTAACCCTAACCTTAAACTCAGCACAAAACCTAAACCCAACCCTCAACCTGCTCCTAGCCCTAACCTTGGTCCAAATCCTAACCCTAACCCCACAACTGTTTACAATCAGCTGAGTTTCAACAGGTAGTTTGTTAACAATTTGAACATCTGTAGATGATCTATGGTGGACTATCGAAATAAAGTGAGATCTAATGTAGTCGGCTTACTTGTTTTTACCACATGTAATGACCATAAATGGCCTGACCAGGGCTCACTTGAAGTTTATTTGCATCGTTTAAACAACAATCAATATGAAATCTGTAGCTGACAGATTTTCACTTGTAACCAACCCTGATTATTTGTCACGTGGCAAAAAATCCTTGTGATTTTGGTTAAGAAATGACCAGCATATCCGCTAGTCGATCTACTCTGCAGTCTGTTGGCCCGTATGCACAAGTGGCACCTCAGCAACTCTCGAAAGCCATCACAATCTACCACGCTAGGCAGCGTATCCTTCTCCACCATTTCACACACTCATTGTGTGGTTTCTTCCCACCGCCTCCCACCCATCTACCTCAGAACGCAGACCAGATAGTTGCTAATAGTTCTTCTTTTCCTTGATTAGCACTTGCTGTTGATATTAACATCAATTTACTGCTGCTACTGCTGAGCTTTAATACAGCATTACATAGTTTGTCTCTGACCTTATCATCCCACACAGCACTGTTTTTAGCTGCGTGCTTCATTTTGCTGTAGGGCGAGAGTTGGGGAGTAGAGTCCGGAAGAGTCGGTGCTTCTCCAGCACATCCGAGTGGTGGTGTTGACTTTTGGCCAATTACTTTTGAGATTAGAAACACACGGTCTTTCATCACTGTGATCTGTAGCTACTCTTAACTGTGTAATATACATTCTCTGCTATAATCCAGTCACTCCACTGGTTACTGGTGTCTTTTAGAAGTAAATAAAATAATAAATAAAAAAGAAAATTACTTCACCGACAGGCTACTAGCGGTGCTCTGTAGGCGACCCTGCCAGTCTGCAGTGATCGAAGAGGAGGGTAAAGTTCAGCAACCTCGCTGCTGGGCTTTGCTGAATGTGTTCGATTGGATTGGCAAAAATTCCCCCTTCATTAATGGATTAAAAAAAAAGTCTTAGGCTAAAATCATCATAAAAACTATCATAGAAGAGTATCTATGATATTTGGCAGCATATTCACAACCATCTCATGTAATAACTTTCTATGAGGGAACTTTCAGATGTCTGGTTCCTGTTACCACCACTGTGAACAATTCTATTTTCTCTATGCTCTCAGAAAAGGTAGTAAACTGCCACTGGGGCAGGACCCCTCTTGTCACTGGGGTGGTACCCTCAAGGGTCCATCTTAGTACCTTTAGTCAGGGAACATAATTGAAATTATGGCTACGTTCACATTACCAGGTTGAAGTGGCACAAATCTGATTTTTTGCCTTAATGTGACTCAGATCTGGTGTTTTCAGAGCTGTGTGGTCACGCAAATCTGATCTTTTCAAATCAGACCTGAGCCACTTTCATATGTGGTCCTAGATCGGATATGTATCCGATTTGTGGCCATGCGACCTTAATGTGACGCTCAGATTGGAATAAATTCTTTTCCACTGCGCCATCATTCAGCGTTACCATGACGCAGCACCGAAAGGAAGTTAAAGCCTGTAGACGATGGAAAAACAACACAAATCAATCTTTTTCTCCTTCGTCTCGCTCTAATAATGAAGCTGAGAGCTGATCAGAGTTAATGATCTTCTCAGCGAAGCTCGTTCTGCTCGTTAGTTTGTGCTGATGATGAACGTGATTCATTCACGTGACGTTACTGAGTAGGATGAGCTCATGAGGGTCATTTCAGGACGCCGGTTCGTCACATCAATAACAGATTTGAATCACTTACCTAAACGAGTGTGAACCATCGTGTCAGAGAGATCGGATTTGAGCAAAAAACTGATTTTCAGCAATGAGACTGTATGTAAACGTAGCCTTTGTGTTCTAGGTTGTATTGACTCCACACACCCCGTCTCGTTTCCAGGCTTTTTATCGTATTGTTCTGTTTAAAAACATTAGTTTGTGAAAAGATACAAATACGTAATTCCGCTTGTAATAACTTATTTGTACCTCTGTTGTACCTCTGAGGGAACATTTAGGCTACGTTCACACGGCAGGTAAAAGTGGCCCAAATCTTATTCTCTTACCAAATTCGATTTTTTCGTTTGGCTGTTCAAATTATCTTTAAATGTGTCCTATATGTGACATCAGTCTGAACAGATCGGCTCCTAAACTGACCCGCAGGTGCAAAACAACAATGATTCACGCTGCTTCACGCGGCTCATCTAGAGGTAAACAATCATAACTGCCAGCAAACGCCAGTCACTCCCGGAGCTTTCAGCTTCATCTTCGGCAGCATCGCAGGAGCCAACATGAAGCATCACCAACTGACACCTGGGCTCATCACCCAGAATGTGTTCAGCTTGCCATAAAAAGGCCGCAGTCACTTCTTTGGTTCGTGTCCTCGGATTATTTAAACTTTGCTTTAAGACTTTTTGCTGTTCTGGCGCTGCAGCCTCGCTCTCTTACGGCTGCGTTCGGCCATTTCTTTGAAAATCTCTTCGAATACAGAGCGGTTGCGATAAGTCTCTTCTAATTTTTTGGTACAGAAACATCAGCCTGAATGTTTATGAGGACTCAGCAGTTTTTTTTCCCCTCCATCTCCTCCGAATCCGACTTAAGATCTCTAAATAATGACCTACTATGTTAAAATACTGAATTCATGTAATTCAGTGAGTTATTTTCTCCAAATTTTCACTTAGTATCTTGAAATAAAGACTTAATATGTGTCAAAAAATTGACACATCTCAGAATAATGGCTAATTTTTCTGAAATGGCATTCTCAAAATACCAATTTTGACTTAATATGTCGAAATAATCACTTAAGTTCTCAAATTTTGACTGTGTCTCAAAATAACGGCTTACTTTCTCAGTGTTGTGATTAGTATCTCAAAATAATGACTAAATTTGTCAAAGTAATATTGTCTACATTATGGCTTGCTATCCTGAAATAATGACTTGCTATCTTAATGAAATATTTTCTTAACGTTTTAATTTAACACTACACACCATGACTATGTCGAAGTTATGGCTTGGTGAATTTCAAGGAAAGTAATTGTTCGACATGAGATTTTGAGATAATATATCAAAACAAGTTATTTTTTTCGCCT